TATGCTCTACATCCTTCTCCAGCTCTGTCCAGAACCCTCTGTTGTGATCCCAGTCAGAGCAGTCAGTGGTGGCAACCAGGCACCGTCTAGCTGTACTGGACTCAGTCTGGTGGAGGCCTTGGTAGCTGTGGTCCATTAGTCCTTCGGACTAACGTTTTCCTTGTATCCTGTTCTCTTCATTCTCCCTTGCTGCTGAAGGGATGAGACCAGTGGAGTATCTTAGATGGCTGCTCACAGGCTTTTAAGACTCTAGACGCTACTCACCAAAGTAGAATGTAGAACATTGTCTTTATAAACTGTGTTACACCAATTGAGCTAAATGTTCCCCGAAATCATGGGACCTAACGATTTTCAATGATGAATTGTCAAATACAGCAACAAATGCACAAGCAGAAGACTAAAATAAACAACTAGGACCTCACAAAAGTTAAATATTTGTGTTCATCAAAAGATTTTATCAGTTCTTCAACATGACTAAGGTCATTTGTGAAAAACCAACACCAACATTATACTAAATGGAGAAAGACTCAGAACTTTCCCCTTGAAAATGGGAACAAGCCAAGGATGCCCACTCTTATCACTCCTGTTCAGTATTGTACTGGAAGTTGTAGCCAGAGCAATAAACTAAGACAAAGAAATAAAAGGTATCCAAAATAGAAAGTAAGAGGTAAAACTATCTCTTTTCACAGATGACGTGATCCTGTACGTAGAAAATCCCAAAGAATCTACTAAAAAGCCTCTAGAGTTAGTAGAGGAATTTAGCAAAGTTTCAGGATACAGGGTCAAAAAATCACTTGAGTTTCTATACACCAGCAACGAGAAATCTGAACCAAAGATTAAGAAAACAACTCCATTTTCAGCAACATCTACAAGAGTAAAATATCTAGGAATAAATTTTTCAGGGATGTGAAAGACTTAAAATTATAAAACACTGCTGAAAGAGACTAAAGAAGACCTAAATGGAGAGATGTTCTGTGTTTGTGAAATGGAAGACTTAAAATAGTCAAGATGTCATTACTACCCAAAGTGATCTACAGATAGAACACAATCCCAAACAAAATTCAAACAGGATTTTTTACAGAAATGGAAGTACTAATTCTCTACTTTATATAGAAAGAGGCCCTGAATAGCCAAAGCAGTTTTAAAGAAGAATAAAATAGGAGGCCTCACACTTTAAAACATATTACACAGCTGCATAATCAAAACAGCCTGTACTTGTTTAATGATAGACACATAAACCAATGGAATGGATTTGAAAACCCAGAAATAAATCCAAACATCTGTGGTCAATTGATTTTCTACAAGGGAGCCAAAATTCATTTAATGAGGAAGGAACAGTCTCTTCAACAAATGGTGAGGGCAAAACTGGATTTCCACACGCAGAAAAATGAAGCAAGATCCATATTTCATGCCATACACAAAAACTAATTCAAAATGGATCAAGGACCTAACTGTTAAATCTAAAACCATAAAGTTCTTGGAAGAAAATATAGGAGCAAAGCTTTAGGACCTGGTTTTCTTCAGTGATAGATTATCAAACACAACAACGAATGCACTAGCAACAGAAGACAAATAGATAACTTGGACCTCATATAAGTTAAATACTTATGTTCATCAGAAAACTTTATCAGCCCATAGTTGCCAGAAGAAATGAAATAATGAAAATTAGAGCAGAAATAAATGAAACCAAGAAAAGAAAAATAGTAGAAAGTATCAGCAAGACTAGAAGCTAGTTTTTTGAAAGAATTAATAAAATTGTCAAACTACTAGCCAAATTGGCAAAAGAAAAATGGAGAAGATGCAAATAACCTGATTAAGAAATGAGCTGGGTGACACTACAGCAGAACTAACTGAAATAAAAAGCATCATAACAGACTACTAGGAAAAACTGTGCTCTAACAAATTTGAGAACCTAGAGGAAATAGACAAATTTCTAGAAACATACCACCTACCTAAACTAACACAAACTGAGGCAGAAATTTTGAACAGACCCATAACAAAAAAAGAAATTGAAGGGGTCATAAAAAAACTCTCAACAAAAAAAGCCCTGGTCCAGACAGCTTCACTGGAGAATTCTATCAAACTTACAAAGAACAGTTGACGGTAATTCTAATCAAACTATTCCAGAACATAGAAAAGGAAGGAATACTCCCAAACTCATTATATGAAGCCAGCATAACCCTAGTTAATACCAAAGCCAGGCAAGAACACGACTAAAAAAGAAAACTACAGACCAGTATCCCTCATGAATATAGATGGAAAAATTCTCGACAGAATCCTAGCCAATAAAATACAACAGCATATCAAAAAAAATAACACATCATGACCAAATGGGATTCATACCACACATGAAAAGCTAGTTCAACATTAGAAAATCAAATCAATGTAATCTGTCACATAAATAAAAGAATCACATGTTCATCTCATTTGATGCTGACAAGGCATTTGATAAAGTCCAACACCCATTTCTGATAAAAAAAAAAAAAAACCTCTCAGCAGAATAGGAATAGAAGGGAAGTTCCTCAACATAATAAAGGGAATTTATGCAAAACCAACAGCCAACGTTATCCTCAGCAGAGGGACTCTGACAGCATTCCCCCTGAGAATGGGAACCAGACAAGGGTGCCCTTTATCACCACTCTTATTCAATATTGGAAATCTTAGGGAGAACAATAACGCAAGAAAAGGAAATAAAGGGCATCTTCATTGGTAAGGAAGAAGTAAAAACTATCCCTGTTTGCAGATGATATGATTCTATATATAGAAAATTCTAAGGACTCCACAAGAAAGCTGTTGGAACTAATAGAAGCATTCAACAAAGTGGCAGGATACAAGATTAACATACAAAAATGAGTTGGATTCCTCTACATCAACAAAGACAACTGTGAAAAGGAAATTAGGAAAACAATACCATTTACAGTAGCTCCTAAAAAACAAAATACTTAGAAATAAATCTAGGGACTTAAAAGACAAAGACAGCTACAAAAACACTCCTGCAAGAAACCAAGAGATGTACATAAATGGAAAAACATACCATGCTCTTGGATAGGAAGACTTAATATCA